TCTACTCACTGCTCTCTCTTTACCAGTTTATCTCTTAACTACCACAATTGCCTTCTGCTCTTTTCCCCTCAGAAACTTAAAAACGAAACCGTATTCATTAGCCAAATAACTGGATTAGATTTCTTTTCAACATATTAGAGAGTAGAAAAGTTGCTTTGTAATTTTTTTGATATGCAGCCTTTTAGAAAGCAATTCCTTAAATCACTCTGTTTAAAACTTTGCAGTACGTAACTTTCTTTGCTAGCACACTAACATTGCACTAAAACCTGTGCAATGTTAGGAAAACTTTAATTTCTGTAGTCAGTGCTTCCACATGAGCAGCAGGGGGCAGCAGGACACCAATAATTGAAGAAATTGTCCTAGACTGACAAACACTGTTGAATTACTGCAGTGGGTCTGTGTACTCGTGATGATCTCAGCTCTCAGATGAAGTCTTTTGTTTTGTGTCCTATTTTACAATGCATCGTTCAGTTTTCTATAGGAGTTGTGGCTTAGTCACAGTATTTCACTGTGACAGCTTAGCTTAAGAAAAAGAAAGGTGAAGGAGAAAAAAAGGAGGAAAAGAGAAAGAACATGGAAATGCTTCCAAATAAAACACATCATGACAGGAAAAAGTAATCCTGTGTACACATATAAAGTTTGTCCCTTCTCTGTTCCCAACCTGGACACAGTTTTTCTAGATTACAAACTAAATTCATCCCTATTCCTCCCTAACACACACACACACACACACACACACACACACACACACACACTTGCCATATAGTTTTCTGTCAAAACAGATTTCTTATAAAAAGAAAAACAACACAAAAAAACTCTTTTAAAACAAACACTTGACATTTTTTCAAAAATTCAGAGAAAATCTGTCATTTTCTGTCAACTTTAATCAAGCTTCTGAGTATAGAATTTTATTTTAGTGTTTGCTTTTTGAACATGTATTAGTCAAAATACCTTTCATTAATATGAATGTTGCAATAAAATTCTTCCTGTAAATGTACAGCTTCAGATAAATAGCCAAAAGCTATAGTTGTTATCTATATCTGTTATGTTTGGAGACAGAATATGAAGTACAAACTGAAATATGAGAAACTTGAAGAATATATTCAAGGACTGTTGCAATCGTACAGGTTGGGAAAGGTGCTTAGTAATCCAACCCTCAAAGTTAACAAATATGAAACTACTTTCATGCATAGTTTGAGTTGTACCCAAAATATCATACCTGCAACCCTAGCTTCCTCTCCTACCTAGGCTGGGATTCCCAGGGTTATTAATGTGTTCTCATAGGGTTATTAATTTATTACTGTGTTATGGCAGATGTATTAGTTCAACATCTGGTACCAAATTCCTCTAGAAGGAGGGATTCTTTGCTCACTCCCTAAGGCTGACAGGGCCCTATCTGATTCTGTTGGCATGTCGGCTCTGGCCTTATCTCCTACTATCTATTCTTCTGCTTACCAACTCTGATCACAGCCGCTTCCTTGCTATTCCTTAGAGTGCACTAGGTACTCTATGCCTCAGGGCGCTGGCCCTAGCTGTCTTCTGTCTGGAGCAATCTTACCTCATTCATCCACATGATTCATTTCTTTGCCTATTTCAAGTGTTTGTGCAAAAATCACTTTCTCCATGAGGCCTTCCCTGACCACCTATTTAAAATAGAATATTCTCCCCAACATTTTTTATGCCCCCTTTCTCCTTTATTTTCCTCAACAGCACTTATCACCATCAAATATGCTACATATTACACAGGTAAATATAATACAGGACATAACTGAAACCAAACACGTAAGCCAACAGACAGCTCAACCTCAGTATGAAAATAACAAGAAAAATAGGTCGATTTCAAAGGAAAACCCAACTCTATGCTGTATATAAAAGATAAAAACACACCTAAAACAAAACAATTCAGAAATGCTGAGAATGAAAGGATGGATAAAGGTATACTAAGAAAATGCAAATTAAAAAAAGAAAGAATTGAGATTCTGAAATTCAAGAAAATAAAATTCAGACCAACAACCATTATTGAGATAAAGAACATCTTATAATCCTAAAGGCCGCAATTCACAGTGAAAATAAAAGATTTATGAAAAGATATGCAGTGAATAACACAGTAACTACTTTCATACAGTGGGAATTACAAGAGATTCAGAGAAACTGAAATACACAAACAATAGTAGACTATAGTACATTTCTCTTAATTAGACAAAAATGTACAAAAACACTTATGAAAATTGACTCCAATTTACAATACAAACATGTATGTCTCAACAAATTACATAAAAATAATACAAATATTCACCATAATATAAAACTAGAAATTTATCATCAAAACATAAGAAAGCCCCATCTTGAAATTTTAAATTTTTCTATCAAACATAGCTTGTCCCAAAGGGAAACACCAATTGATATTGAGAATTTCTAGAAAAAAATGCAAACATGACATTAGAATTGACAAAATGCCGCTAAAGAGGGTTCAGAACAAAACTGATAGATTTAAATAAATAATGAAATATATGAATTAGATATTTCACTCAAAAGGAAAAAGTTCAATATACTTAAGATTCTTTTCCATTTTAGATTTAATTTTCTTCTTAATTGAGAAATCTAGTTGTGTTTTTTTTTGAGATGGAGTCTCCCTCTGTCACCCAGGCTGGAGCTGGAGCACAGTGGCGCAACTGGCCAGTCTGGTCTCGAACTCTTGACCTTGAATGATCCACCTGCCTCAGCCTCCCAAAGTGCTGGGATTACAGGCGTGAGCCACTGCACCCAGCAAGCAAACTAGATTTTAAAACAACATGAGATAAATAAGCCCACTGTATTTAACTGCATTTAACACTTTTACTTATAGTTGTAATACTGGTAGATTTTGGAAACTATTACATATATCATGGAGAAAAGTAAGTAATTCTGTTAATATCATTAAAGAGCCATGACTTTCAGCACAGAGAAAAAGAGATGCCATATAACATCAAATAAGTAAAAACCTTATAATCTTTTATTAGAATTAGAATATCATCACAAATTTATGATTTATTTTCATCTTTCTTTGAAAAACTACATCTTTTCTAGATCTTGTTTTGAAGAGTCTGGGAAATAATGATGTTCACGCCATTTAGCCATGAACATCTTTAAGTACAGACTGTAGCATCCAAATCCCTTTTTCACTGGAAGCAATGAGGACACCTTTGAGAAATGGCTGATTCTAGGTCTGAGGCAGTAAATGTACAATACGAGACTGGAACTCTTACAGTGTCAGAAGGCAAGTAAGCTTTCAAGACATTTGAGCTTGTTTCAAGTAAACAAAGGAGCCAAAAATGGCCAACGATGGGCAATTTGAACTTCAAAATGGATAATCACTGCAATTATATAAAAGTGTAAGCAGAGATGCAAATAGAATCAACATGAAACTCCCAGAAGCAACAGGAGATTCAATATGGTAGTGAGATAAACAAAATTAGACATAGAAATCAGTACCTTCACTTACATAAGCATCTAGCAGTTATAAGGAAAAGTGGAAGAGATAATACCACTTATGACACCAACAAAAAAGAGAAATACTATAAGAATAAACAACAAGCGAGAAACCTCTATGATGCTTTCTTGAAAGACACAAAGCTGAAACTTGAGCAAGAGAAAAAATAAACCTTGCTCTTCAAAATGAAAATGCAACATCATAAACTGAAAAGATATGCAGAAGGCAATTTTTAGAAAGTATTTTTATGGAGCTATATTCTATAGTTTCCATGAAAAAATAACCAAGAATATAGAAAAATAAACACTTAAAAAATCAGCAATGACGCAGACTAGCCCTACCAGATACTGAAATATGGTCTCTGTAATAAAAACAGTATAATATTAGCCCATAAGTAGACAATAAAGTCAATGGGGGAAAAAAAAGAAAATATATCTTAGACCTAACTACAATGTGGAAATTTATGTATGTGATAAAAAAATTTCAAATCGCTGGTGGTGGGTGCTTTACAAATTAAACGTTATGACAGCTAAAAAGTCATTTGATATATCCAATAGATGAAATTGGATACATCACCTAGGTAGCATTGCTGCATATGTTTGTGTGCTCATATATATTTATCGTGAATCTTATAATGAGGAACCAATCTGACATCTCCAAATTGAAGGATATTCTGGAAGACCACTGGGCCAGACGTTTGAAAAATGGCAATGCCAGGAGAAACAAAAAAGGCGAGGGAACCGTTCTATATTGAAGCAAGTGGAAGAGAATTGACAACTGTAATGTGTGATTCTTGTTAAATCTCCAATTTCCATTTTACAAACTATAGGGTAAAGAAGGACATTTGGGGGACAATTGAGGAAATTCAAATATGAAATATATCGGATTATTGTAATGTAACAATGTTACATTTCCTAAGAATGACGATGTGCATTGCGATCCCGTGGTCCTCAACTGAAACAATTTTGCTCGTCTCCTTATTCCCCAACCCCTCACCAGCACCCCTTCGCACCCTCACCCTCCACCACCACCACACCGGCTGGGTTTGGCAGTGTCTGGAGGCATCACTGGTTGCCACAATTGGGGGAGGGAGTTGCTACTGTCATCTAATGGGCAGAGGCCAGGGATGCTGCCAAACAGTGACTGTTCTGCACAGGACATCCCCACCCCACCCCGTCACCCCCACCATACGGACAAAGACAGCAAAGACTCATCCTGCCCAAAGCGTCAATAGCGCAGGGTTGAGAAACCCTGATGTCAAACGATCCCTTATTCTTAGGAGATACATACTGAGATATCAGGCTGAATCACAAGACATTGTCTCTTGCGTAGGTCAAGTATCGGCAGTATTTAAGGACGAAGGGTTATGACGTTCACCACAGACTCTCAAAATAATGAACAAACCCTTCCGCCCCGGCTGCCCCGCGCCCTAGAGAACCCGTGAGGGGCGCACTCGCCCGCGCGCGCGGAGGCCAACGCCGAGCCTGCGCTGTGGGAGGTGCCGAGAGCGCACTGCGCACGCGCCGGCGGCGGGCCGCACCCACTCAGCGCGGCTCCCAAAGTTGCAGACGGCTCGGCCGGCCGCGCGGTGCGCTGCGTCTGCGCCGCGCAGAGAGAAGTAAAGAAAACTCCGGGGGCTCTGCTGGCTTCTTCGCGAGTGACCGCGATGCTTCCCCAGATGGAAGACCGGAGCCCTGCTCCTCTGCGATCCGCCGAGGGCTGCAGGGAGCATCCTCATCCATTTGGGCACCCCCGTCCAGGACGAGCCCGGCCATCCCTGTCCAGCCTGGATCCTTGAGAGGTGGATTTTCTTCTGTGATTCCGTTTGCTCGGTCTGACCAGCCTGGGCAAAACAGCATCGCGTGGAACCAGTGCCGCTGGGCACGCTAGCTTCACGCCGGCTCCGCCTCGCCAGCAAGCGCGTTCCCAGGTAAAAATTTTAAATACCTTAGAATTCTTCTGCCTAGAGTCTCTAATCAAGAAGTTGACCCACTTTTTTCTGGAAGGATCTAGAAACAAATACTCTAGAATTCGGGACTGGAACTGTGTCGCGTATTCGCCTTTGTTTTGACAGTCTTTGTTTTGAGAATGCAAAAACCACTCTTAGCTGCCGGACCTTACAAAAATAAAATCATGTAGATTGGGATGATTAGAACCTAATCATTAACTTCACCCAGCACAGAGACTAAAGCGCCAGTGAGTCCTCCACCCCTTCCTCGGCCCTAGCACAGTTTTGCAGTTAGGACCCAGGTTTTGTGAGGACTGGGACCCACCCAGGTTTAGTTCACAGTCTCTTGAATCTCTCCCTGCACCTGCACCTTGCTCCTCCTCCTCCTAGGCCAGTGGCCCGTGCGGAGTTCTTGGCAGTCTCCGAGGCCACCAGGAAACCCCCAGACTAACTGCCACGCCCTCCTTTGCTCTAAAATGACAGGCGCTTTTCATCTGGGAGCAAAGGCTGAAATCCCCACATTTGGACTAAATTAGTTTAATGTAAAAGTAATACAAGATTGTCTCAGACAATTGTATTTTAATAATACTTTTTTCTAGTGATGAATGTAATGTATGTCTACCATGGTCATTTGGAAAATACTGAGACGTATATAGGAGAAAATAAATTCTCCATAACCCCAACCCATAAATAATAACTTTTGAAATGCTTGTGTAGTTTTTAATTCTTTTTTCATGCAAATTGTAGGACAACTTACTGAACAATTTAATTTTTAAAAATATTTTTAATAATCTTTTGTTGAAGTACAGCATATAGAAAAGTGTACAAATTATAAATACAGTTCAGTAAACTTTCAAAGATTAACACAAACATCCCCTAGGAGCCACCACCTAGCTCAAGAAATAAATTAATAATAGCGTTCTTCATCCCCCTGTTATTCGTGTCTGTTTTGACATTTCACATGAAATGAATTACTTGGTAAATATTTTATAGTATTTGGCTTCTTTCACTTTATTTTAAATTTGAATTCATCCCTGTTGTTGCATGTAACAGGTCTTTTAAAAATCTTATTCTATGCTATATGAAATTCAGTTATATGAGTATACACAATTTATTCTTTCTACTGTTTTTTTCTTAGTTACAGATTTATTGAGATATAATTCACCATACAGTTCATCCACTTAGTGTGCAATTCATTGTGTACAATTCAGTGCTTTTGGCATATTCACAGATAAGTGCAACCATCACCACAGTCAATTTTAGAAAATTTTCATCACCTGGAAAGTTCATACCCTTTAGCTCTCACTCCCCAACCCCAGTTCTCTGTCCTTTCCAGCCCCAAGCCACCACTAATTTTTCTGCTCTATAGATTTGCCTATTCTGGACATTTCACAAAAATTGAATTATATAATATGAGGTCTTTTGTGACTGGTACTTTATGCTCATATTGGACATTCAGCTTCTTTCGAGGTTTGGAACTCTTACAGATAATACTTGCATGAACATTATTCTGTGAATTGTTTCACCCAGATACACATTTCTATTGGGATACATATCTAAGGTATGCATGTAACCAGCTGTAGTTACAGTGCCAAGCAGTTTTTCAAATTTACAGGCCCCGCCATCATTGTATGATGAGAGTTCTCTTTGTTCCACATCCTCTCCAACATTTGGGGTTTATATGGTTTTAATTAACACTTCTCTGATGAGTAAAGATAAAAAGCATCTTTCATGTGGTTATTGGCCACTTGGATATCCTCTTCAGTAAAGTGCCTTTTAGGCATTGACCCATTTTTCTATTGAGTAGTCTTCTCCTTGATGTGTATATTCTGGATAAGTGCTGCAAACAAACACCGTTTCCTAATTAAAGGCTTGCGTTTTAATGCTCTTATTTTTAGATTTTGATAAATGTAAATCTTTCATTTTTATTGAAGCCTAATTTATCACTCTTGTTCATAGTTAGTGGTTTCGCTGCCCTGTAAGAAATCATTGCCTACCCCAAGGTGACAAGGGCATTCTCTTATGTTACTGTCTGGAAGCTTAAGTTTTTTCTTTGAACATTTAGATGTATCAGCTACCTACAGTTAATTTTGGCGTATGGTGTGAAGTGAGGACTAATTTTTTTTCATGTAGCTATCCAACTGACCTAAGTGTTTTTTGGAAAAGAAAATCCTTTCCCCACTGCTCTGCTACATCACCTTTGTCATAAATCACTGGGAACAGAACTACAGATGTTAGAAGCTGTAGACAAGGAATTTAAAATACATTTATGGTTAATTTACATTATTAAAGATGCTTACAAAGTGTAGATATGGTAAGTGAACACAGGAATTTCAAGAGAAGTACTAATTGAAGAAGAACAAAATGGAACCCCTAGAACTGAAAAATATAATAACTAAAATTATTTTATGAGATTATCTGTGGACTGGACACACGATAAGGAGAATCAGGAAACTTAAAGATGGGTCAGTAGAGAGCCAGGCACAGTGGCTCACGCCTGTAATCCCAGTGCTTTGGGAAGCCTAGGCGGAAGAATCATTTGAGACCAGAGGTCAGAAGTTTGAGACAAGCCTGGCCAACATGGTGAAACCCAGTCTCTACTAAAAATACAAAAATTAGCTGAGCATGGTGGTACACACTTGTAATCCCATCTACTATGGAGGCTGAGGCAGGAAAATCGCTTGAACTGGGGAGATGGAGACTGCAGTGAGCCAAAACTGAGCCACTGCACTCCAGCCTGGGCAACAAATCGGGACTCTATCTCAAAAAAAAAAAAAAAAAAAAAAAAAAAAAAAAAAAAAAAAAAAAAAAAAAAAAAAAAAAAAAATAGGTTAATAGCAATTATCCAAATTTAAAGTGCACTGAGAAAAAAACGTATAATAAACAGAACATTAGTGACTCGTGAAATAATATCAAGACATCTAACCTACATGAAATTGGATTTTCAGAAGTCAAGGAGAGAAAATATTAGGCAGAAAAATACTTGAAAAAATATTAGCAGAAGTTCCCCAAATTTGATCAAACATATTTATCCAGAATGTTTACTTGCTTAATGAAGAGTTGATCCTAGTAACCTATTTTGCCATTAATGGCGTTTAGAAGTTAGCATCAAATGTTATAAAGTTTGCATCTCCATGAATGAGCAGCAGGCAAAGTCACATCAAATGTAGAAAAAATACTTTGCCGGGTGGCAGGGTCCTGAGCATGGTATTCTTTTAACATAAATGTTGCCTGCCGCTAATGGCCATTACCACCACCCCAATCATAGTAATACCACAATTCCTCACAATTTTTCAACATATCCCCTTGGTGCACGGTAGGGTCCTGCATCCACTGAGAACCCTTTTCTCCTGTGCTCTGCCACTGTCTCTCAGTTCCATACCTTTCTAACCTCGTCTTCTAATGCTTTAGGTATCACACCTCCCTGGCCTCCTTCCCTATCAGGGTTTTGGGAATTGCTTTTCCCTCTTCCAGACTGGTCCTGCCCCCAGATATTTATATAATTGACTCTTCCTCAAGTCTTTGTTCCAATGTCATTTTTCTCAGTGAAACCTTTAGATTAAATAAACTAAAACAAAAAGCTTGTACATTCTCTTAGCATCTTTATTAGTTTACAGGGCTGCCACGTGAAAGCACCACAGACCCCGTGGCTTAAACCACAGAAATTTATTTTCTTAGCTCTGGAGACTAGAAGTCCAAGATCAAGATGTCAGCAGCTTTGATTTCTCCTGTGGCCTCTCTCTTTGGCTGGCCATTGGCCACCTTCTCTCTGTGTCCTCCCATGGTTTGCCCTCTGTGCGTGAGTGCCCCAGGCTCTCTCTGCATTCCCAAATTTTCTCTTATAAAGACAGCCTTTAGATTGGATTAGAACCCATCCAAAGGACTTCATTTTAACTTAATCGCCTCCTTAAAAATCTTATCTACAAATATAGTTACTTTATGAGGTACTAGGGGTTAGGCCTTCAACATATGAATTTTGGGAGTATGTAATTCAGTCTATACACCATCTCTTGTTTATTTTTATCTGTAGTCCTTATTTTAAATTCAATGTATCATGATTTACTCGGTTTGTTGTCTTAACTTTCTGTTCCACTGGAATACAGGTTCAATAAGAGAGTGATTTTAATCAATTTCTCTGAAAAGTCTTCAGAACCAAATGAGAAAAAATTATCATTGTTAACATTTTCACTTAGTGCTAGCATATAGGCAACCTAATGTATTTCTAATAACTCCCTATATCCTTCAGAGCATTCCTTCATTCCTTCATGAATGAAGAAAGCCCTGATAGTGTTCCAGTAATTTATGTTTTTTAATGTTTGAATTTCTTAACAAATTATAGCACTAAAAGATGCAATATTTTTGTTTGTTTAATTTTTATATTGTTAATAGAGACAGGGTCTCACCATGTGGCCCAGGCTGGCCTGGAACCCCTGGACTCAAGTGATCCACCCTCCCTGGCCTCTCAAAGTGCTAGGATTATAGGCATGAGCCACCATGCCCACCTATGATCCCGTTTTTTTTTTTAACCAAGGATAATAGAAATTTAATATGCTTGTTTCCAAAGCAACAAAAGCTTTACATGATCGAGTAGACGGAGGGCTCTTCCATATTACACAGAAATATATAGCCAAATTGCCAAGGACTCCCTCATGCAAAAAAAAAATGCTTAGCGCCATCCTCACAAAGCAATTTGCCTGTTTAATTGTAAACTGATTGTGACAACTTTTTTTTTCTTTAGGTGGTCAGGCTCAGGATGGACCATGAGGTTTCAAAAAGGAGAAAGGTGGAAATTCTCAGCTATGCTGCCATCTGAATAAATGTTTCTTTGCAGCATGCAGAGTCAAGGAAAATTACATCTCTGCGTTATGTAATGTACCAATGCACTTACCCACTGTTTTAATCTAGGTTATTCTTGAAAGCAGAGCTTGAGACAAAGGTAGACAGTAGACACATTCTATTTATGAGTCTAATACCAAGCAGCAGGAATGAGAGACAGGGGAGTGAACGTGGGGAAAGGGAAAGTAAGTCCAAGCAAAACCAGATACTGGTGTTATCAAGTGGTCTGCTCCTATTAATGGCTACATAATGCAGGACTTTCTCAGGATTCTTCTTAAACTTTATCTCAGAACTGTCTTCCTCAGGGAGAATGGAGAAGTATTTCTCCATCAGCAGCCACATCCTGTGTGTTGAGGGCTGCTCCTTTGGGGCATTAACCCACTACCCCTGGCCCCATCCCTCTGGGCTGCAAGGAGCTGAGAGCCCAGCTGGTACCACAGCATCACACATTACTGCATTAGAGAGGTCTTAAGACAGGAAGCTAGAGTCTTGGTGCATGCTTGAAGTGAGACAGTGTTAGCACAGAGCAGGGGAAAACCTTCCATAACTGTTCACCAGTGCTATGACTGGAATCAGAGGTTGAAAAGATGTGAGACTATACACAAGAAGCATCTTATAAGCCTACATAATATACTGTTAGACTCATCTAAATCTGTTTCCTTCCTTCTTTATAATCAAAACTTTAGTGACCAGAATAAGGTTGGCAGAGGGTTAAATAGGAAAGTTAAATGTATTAGAAAGTATACATTGCTAAGTTTTAACCTTGAGTCATGTTCAAGGAAAAAGTGACACTGGAACTTGGAAAATTAAAAAAATGATTCTACTTGAAAAATTTGACCATTGCATAGAAATATTAGCTATTGTCTAATTTTTTGTAATCTCAGAAACAATCATGAATTGTTTGGTGAAAAATGAAAAAAATAAATTTAATCATTTCTTGTGTCTCCGTGAGCTTTATAGACCAATGTCACTAACTTTTCCTAAAATAATTATTTCCTACTGCCAAATAGCTCTAGTGATACAAAGCTTACAACCAATGAAGGGAAAACCAATAGAAACGTAGGAAGAAAAATACTGGGATAATTTTCATCACATAAAGTGTTGTCATTAATATTGGTTGGAATGGGGGGGAACTGCATGACTTAGCATGACATTCCTGTATGTTGAATGAAACTCTGTCTTAACAGAAATAGCAATGTCATCATCGTCCTCTCTTACTTGATCTTGAATTGCCACCATTCAGATAAAACCTTTGAATTATTTAACTCAATATATGCTAAGCTTCTACTATGTGCTATATACTGGTACTATAAGCACGAATAGGACTTAAAATATTATTTCAAAAACATCAGAATACATGTTCTTTTAAACTGTACTGCAAAATATTTACCACATGTTCTGGCGCGCACCTTAGGCTAGATCACAAATCAATTCTCAAGAAATTTCAAAAAATTGAAATCATATGGAGTATGAATTAAATCAGAAATCAAGTACATAAAGGTAACAAAAAAAAAATCCTAAATGCATGTAATTTAAGGAACATACACTTCATGACCCATGAGTCAAAAAATAAATCACAGCAAAATTGCAAAAATATCTTGAAATTAATTTTAATGAAAATACAGCATATTAAAACTTGTGTGATGTGAAAGCATATGATGGGAAACATACAGCTCTAAGTACATATATTAGAAATTTTACAGAAAGATTGGCTATCGGTGTCTCCAGAAGCCAGGGAAAAAGTTGAGACAACTTGATGGCTGAGGAAGGGAAACAAATGTGAGACCTCTCATCACCCTCCCTTTCCCGGGTGAGCACGCTGGATCCCATCACAGGAGGACGAGCTTAAACAGAGGTCTTGCTGAGTTGAGGAGAGGAAGACTGGAGTTGAGACTGAGACAGCTTGAATTTTCAGGACAGAGTATCAACAAGGAGGAAGGCAGACAAGGAAAAATTCCAGAAATCTACGTAGAGACCCCCTTGTGTACATTGTGGAGCACTAGGCCTAATAATTCTCAAAATTAGTGCAAGATTGGGAAATATTTCATTTCCATCCAGCCATGGTGGAGAGTCCTGACCGAAAACCAGGCGTTCACTGAAAATCCCGGAAAGGTTACATGTTACATAAGTAGGGCTAAACTATCCTGACAGAAAACTACACTTCACTTACTCCCCACCCACACAACAAGCTTAAAAACAAGCCTCAATAGTATAAAGCTGACCTGTAAGTAAGTAAACTACCTTCCAGAACAAAGTCCAAATTTATTAGTTCCAGTCCTTAAAAAAAAAAAAAATGTAAAGACAGGATTAATTTACAAGACATTTATTTGGAGGAAAAAAAAATGACTGAGTGTTTAAATGGAAAGGAAGCCAGAGAGACAGAGTGCTCAGACTACATAAAATGCCTGGCCTCCATGGAGGTGTGATGGTTACTATGCGTGTCAACTTCACTGGGCCACAGAATGCCCCAAATCTGACCAAACATTATTTCTGGTTATGCTCATGAGGCTTTTTCTGGAAGAAATTTGCATTTCAATTGATGGACTGAATAAAGCAGATTGCAGTCCCTAGTGTGGAAGGGCTTGATCCAGTCTTTGAAGGACCCAAATAAAATACGTGGAGGAAGGTTGAATTTTCTGCCTGACTGTGGTGCTGGGACACCCATCTTCTGCCCTTGAACCAGGAACTGACTCCATCAATGCTCCTGGTTCTCAGACCTTTGGACAGCAGATTGGGGGACTTCTCAGCCTCCATTACTGTGTCAGCCAATTCCTTATAATAAATATTCTACACTGATTAGTCTTACTGATTCTGTTTCTCTGGAGAGCCCTAATACAGAAGGAGAAAGGGAAGAAAGGAGGGTTGAGTAGCAAAAACCGTAGACATAGCACAATTCCAATGAAATTGAAGGTCAGCTGATAAAGAACACTCAAACCAAAGTTGCCCATTGGAGGAGCCCCCTCCCTCACAGGAATAGGCCTGCATTATTAGTATGCCTTCTTCAGTCAGTCATTGCTGTTCTGATGGAAGCAACCCATGGTAAATGTAGCCTTGGCCTGACTACCACCGGATTCAGAGAGCAGCATCGGGGACCCCCCAGTCAATTAAGCTCCACAGCAAGAGATCTCAGTGGTGCATTTGTATGGCTGGCTTAGTCCACCCATTGGGCTGCTTAGCTCCATTCTGTCCTAGCTGCCAGGAAGATTACTAGGTGTCATTGTCAACTCAGGCTCTGTGCCCAGGAAACCTAGAAATGTCTGGATATTCTTCCTTGCCAGCATATAGTCATAAATCTATCTGGGGAAGAACTTGCCATTTCATCAAAGTATATACATGTAGAGCAGGGTTCTTTCTCCTAGTGACCTGTGACCTAGTAACCCATCGCCTATGAGTTCTTCCATCTGTCAGCTCCTTACCTGAAAAGTGCTTCAGGTCTGGGAAGTGAGAAAGGGATTGTGATGTGTCATTGGAGCCATGTGGTTCTGTTCGTGCCTTATATGGTTATAGGCATTACACAGCATTCTTGTTATTTGCCCATCTATTTTGCCTGTAAGGGTGTTACTTTCAATTAATTATCTCCTAAACACCTGTGAATCAACCCCCCTTAACTACCGCTCCAATTTCACCAGTTGTTACAGTAATTATGGCCTTTTGACTTTTGGTAGTTAAGCACCAGTCCTCCAGGGCCCTCTATTCCTTGAGGGCCCATTACCCCTGAATCATATTAAGCCCAGTTCTGTGACCGCCTCATTTACCATCAGCCCTGGTCTAAGGAGTAAAGCCACTATTCCACTTAGTGATACTAGTACCCTCCCACAGGCTCATTCTTGGTGGCCTTAGTGAATTGTCACTATTTCATGACATATTCATCACATATATCCCTCATATATTCTTTTATCTGACCCCTATGAAGGTGTGATGGTTAACCTCATCACAAAACCTGTATGCCATTGTATAGCAGGTCCTTCACTAATATAGCAACACCAAAGTTTTCAGGCAGAACTGATAGACCCTGTTGAAGGACAGGCAATCCTAGAGTAAACCATCTGTATACAGTTCTTTTAACAGCCTTCAAGGCACTGTAAGATTAGGGAGAGACTTATCAAATTATATTCAGCAGAAAACTAGCTCCATAGGATATGAATTGATGTTAGGAGAAAACCTAAATTAGAAAGTTTCTTCAGTGCCATATTCTCAAAGCCATTTGTGAATGTTTAGTACAACTCTCCAAAACAGATGATTTGATACGTTCCGTGTGGCAGTAGTAGGATGTGCAACCCAGATCCCCCTTAAAGAACAGCTTGCACCCCACTTGCTGGGTGTCCTGTTAGCGGGCAGCCTGCAGCTGTCAGCCCTCTTCAGGAATTGGCTTAGCTGTAGAGAACCATTTCACCTAAGGTCACACTTTTCTGTGGAGTGGCCCATAGCCAAGGATTGATCAGTGTGGATATACAAAGTTGTTCTCTTGCCCATCCCAGGACATCTCTGAGGGCCGTTTTAACTCCAGCGCTCCCTGTGGGGTTGACCAAGGATCTCGTTGGACCTGCATTACAACTCAGCTTCTCCCTCTACCCAATTCCACTTCCCTCTCTCTCTTTTAACAACTTTTGGCAAAAGGAACTTCTTAATAAATATCCTGCAATTAAGCTTTATCTCAGAATCTGCATCCTGGAGAAGGCTGTCTGAGATGCCCCACTTTCTAATTTTGTTTGCCCATCAGAGTCTCCCCATTTTTTTTATGGAGTTGTCTTCTTTAACCCAGAAGGGAGTGCAGTGGCACGATCTCAGCTTACTGCAGCCTCTGCCTCCCAGGCTTAAGCAATTATCCTGCTTCAGCCTCCTGAGTAGCTGGAATCACAGATACCTGCCACCATGCCCATCTAATTTTTTGTATTTTTAGTAAAGATGGGTTTTCACCATATTAGTGAGGCTGGTCTCAAATTCCTGACTTCAAGTGATCTGCCTGCCTTGGCCTCCCGAAGTGCTGAGATCACAGGCATGAGCCACTGCGCCTGGCCTAAATCCCTCTTACGTAGAGTTCCTAACAAGTGTAAGGCTTAAGAAATACGTTCTGAATGCTGGTAAGTGCATATGTGAGAACCAAGTACCTGTGTGGAAAGTAAGGGGAGGGGTACCCCAGACTTAAATCCCAGCTTATGAATGCCTTTGAGATTTGCAACTAGCTTAATTTGGATACTTAACTCTAATGCTTAAAGTACTACAGGATTTACTATCTGTGAAGGTGCTATGGAGAGGATCTAGATATTGTCTGACCTATGCAAATAAATTTTATTTTCTCTGTAACAGTGTTTAAAACTCTAAGACAATCCATGGTTGTCGGGTAAAATGCACTCATGTCTATCTGACAGATGCAAGTATTTTGCATTCCAGCTGCTTTTGGATATTTAACAGGAGAAGAAAAGAGAAAATATTATTAAAGCCTTTGAAAGTCCATTTCCAAGAAATAAAAACTACAGTAGGAACTCTACAAAACTGAAAAGTCTTCAGGACTGGAAGATCTATCCAGAAAAGCCCAGTGGATTATAATAACTTATTAAAATATTTGTTTGGCAAGCCACTGACTAATACCATTTTAAGATATGACTGTATTATCAAAAAAATTGGAATGAGTAGTTTTTTACAAATCTTTGAAATAATCGTACTTGTATTTTGACACTAATTTGAAACAGGAGCTGGCTTGAAATACTAAACCTAAGTGATCGGAGACAGCATGATCAGCATAGAGCAATTTCCAAATAAGATGAGATGCATGCAGCCTCTACAAATTTGGCTTGGGGAGGAGTTTGCTTCGCTCGCTTGAATAAGCCACTGTCTATGGCTCACAAGGGTCCCGTTCTTAATGAGGTGGTGCGTAGCAGCAACACACTGTGAATCCAAATAGCAGATGGCAACACTGTTGAGTAGGCTGGCAGTCTGATGTCTAGCCACCAACTGGCAGCAATCATTATTAAACTGATTCATGTGCCCAGGGAAAATCTTCATAAGAGTCTTAGCAAATGTGAGCAGCAAGAAGCAAATGATCTGCTGTTCCAACTGCTATGAGTTTTACCTATATTTCTTAAAATATTATTCCCCAAAGCAATCTACACAAATGGCATGATATGTGCACTGGAGGCCCTATTCCTTTCCTTTAGATGCATTCATGTATACCTTTAAACATGATAGCTGTGATTTCTGTATTTGGTGAATAGCTTTTCCTTGAAGGAAATAGCTTCATAGCATTCACCCTATGGATCTGTGGCACATATT